AGATCAGTCAAAATTACTACTATAAACGAGCTGAGAATGCAAAACTCACGACATTTGAGTGCATTTACATTGTATAAATGGACATTTTGGTCTTTGTACAACATGTTTGAGTAGATTTTGATGTCATATCCTGTAAGTTAARAAATATTTTAGCAATTAATTAAAGTCATATTTACGTGTTTTCACAAAACCATGGTCTACATGTCGTGRAATTTTTATAGGAAATCTTACTTTGCCAGAGCTAGTATTTAACACATTRAAAGATCGATAGATGCCTTGTTTGCAAACAAAAGATGGATTGATTTGGGTATATGGCACAGGAGATACAATTTTTTTAAAATACGGAATTTCAGACTTATGAAAACCGAKCAAAATATGGCTTCCAATAGAGGAAGCCCAAAGTTTAGGAATTTAACTATTCCAAATGAAAATGCTATTTACGCTAAAAGTAAAGATATATTTCAACAGCTAATCCCTAAATTTACTGACTATGAAAGTAAAAGTACCATTTTGGGGGCTTTATTTTGTACATGAAATTGAGGTTGAAATTTGTGTTTTGAGGCACCAAAGAAAGCAACTGCTCTTAAAATTCAGGAAAACTGAGAATCCAAAAACGAAATGGTTTTTGATGATCAGTAACCCAAAGAGTATTAGTGCACGGAATATCATGAGAATCGGTGAGGTAGCCTTGCCAAGTGATTCTTGATGCTTACAGAAAATTGCTCTTAAAAGGCGTCTTAAGGTGACTTAAGAAAAAATGAGGGTAGATTGGGCGGGGCACTGTGGCAGCTTAAGGTGTCTTAAGGCGACTTATTGGATGATAAATTTGGATGATAATTTGATGGGGTCCCTTGGCAACTTAGGGCATCACCCAATGGTTACAATTAAGATCTATTTGGATGTGTATTAGTGTCTTTTTTGTGGAATTTGACTTACAAATACAAGTAGTCAAACGAAATTTTCTATGATTGTTAACTATATACTCTTTACTGTCAGTGCTCTATAAGTGCAGTATTTGAAAATGCTATTTACTTATTGCAAAGACACATATATGGTGAAGCTTTAAGTTTCTTTAGAGTCTGGTCTYTTTTACATTTAGAAAAACAAAATAGTTATTAGACAAAGAACATTTGAGTCATCTACTTTTTGGTTTTGAAATATCCTTTATAAGTGAAATTATGTAAATTGTTCAAAAAAATACAGATCAAGATCAACAAAGCCAAAATGAAAAATAATGAAGTCACTTCAACCATTAAATTGTACAAACTACTGCAAATAAGCTCAAATATCTGACAGAGTGCGAATRTGCGATCCTGCACTATTTGTCTCAAATCGCACTAAATCGCACAGTTTTCGATTTTCCATATAATGTACCAAATACAAAATAAAATCCGGTGAATCTGTCTTGTAGACTTAAATTAACTTACAATTTTGCCATTTCTTGACAAAAGACAATATTATTTAGCCAAATTCTTGCAGATTTAGCCTTCTAACAGCAAAATCCCGGCACAGGCGTTCATGCAATCAAATCAATTTTGACAGTCTTTTGCAAGATGCACTATGCAGTCTTACTTGAAAAGCAGGACATTTCAGAATCTTTTCCACTTCGATTTTTTTCCTCTRGTATCGATCCAACATCAGTGAACTATAAGTTTAATACATGAAACTTTTGATTTTGTATAATCCGACACTGAAAGTCAAWCAGGTTTGGGTTCCCTGTGGTCGAGGAAAACTACGAACGAGTTATTCAAAATGGCGGTCGTGTCGGTGGTTGTTGATCGTTTTATTCTTGACTTTCACTGATCACGTGATAGTCTAAAAAAGCTATTTAGAGGCAGAATTAGCAAACTTTTATTATTGTTCTCGAGAGAACATCTTAATTAAAGGATCATGACGAAATTTAGAGCCAAAATAATGTTTTTTAACAGAAATACGAGCGATCGAAAATTGGTAAGAATGTATGGGATTAGCACGGCTCAATGCGTTTTGGACTAGTCAAGANAGTTTAGTTACTTATCCACAAATTTTTTTTTTCAAATTTATGCAATTTATTGATTGTGATATTGGTTAAATATGTATGAGACTACATAAAGGAAATTACAGTAATATGCAGAAATTGTGATCGTTTTCACTCATATTTCAAGTGTATAAATATATCAGAAATTATTGGATCTCATCACCAATATTTTTTTCAGAAAGTACTAGTGTAAGGCTACTTGAAAAATATATCAGCAATGGTATCTCATAACTTCTGATATATTTAATATACTTGAAATACGAGTGAAAAAGATCAAATTTCTGCAGATTTCTGCATGAGTTATTATGTGGAAAGTATGTAACTTACAAATTTATGTACTGCACTTTGAGTAGGAGTTAGTTCCCTTTGGTCAAAAATAATCAATCATTCTGCAAATGACCTCTTTTCATAAAAAGTACATAAATAATTACAGAAAATGATACCAATTGGCCTTATCATGCAAATTAAATTATTATTTCCTTCTATACTTAAAGCAGCCTAAGGCGACTGACKGCGTCTTAAGGCGTCTTAAGGCGACTTTCTGACCCGGAGTAGGCCTAACATACAGTTGGTTCAAAGTAAAGACAGGAGTCAAACAGGGAGGTAACATGTCAGGTTTCCTATTCTTGATTGTGATAGACTGGATAATGAAAAGATYAGTTGGCCAAGGTGAGAATGGCATCAGATGGAAATTCACATCTAAATTAGACGATTTAGATTTTGCGGACGATATAGTTCTTCTATCTCACACTAGACAGCTACAAAACAAAACGACAAAAATTGACACGGAAGCCAAAAGATTAGGTCTTAAAGTGAATATAGACAAGGCAAAGATAATGAAAATGAATGCAAAGAATCAACAGGGAATAACCATACATGAAAGAGTCATTGGAGAAACAGCGGAGTTTACTTACCTTGGAGCTAAAGTATGCAAAGATGGTGGAGGAATGAGAGATTTGAGGAACAGAATTTCAAAGGCAAGAGGTGCATTTATTAGGTTAAGAAAAGGTTGGAGATCTGAAATTATCACAAGAAGAACTAAGCTCAGGCTCTATAAGACCCTTGTGGTGCCAGTATTGTTATACGGCTGTGAAACGTGGAAAATSAATAAAAGTGATAATAAAGAAATTGACATGTTCCAAAACAAGTGTTTACTCGGAATTAAGTGGCAAGATCATGTTAGCACAGAAGAACTAATGAAACGAGCAGAGACAGAACCTCTAAGTAAAGTAATAACGAGGAGGAAATGGCAATTGATAGGGCGCATACTTAGGAAAGCCTTTCCTAAGTATCTTATCGGATAAGAACAGTGACGAGATGATTGCCTTGACATGGGCCCCTGAGGGAAGAAGACGTAAAGGCAGGCCGGAAACAACATGGCGTCGGACAGTTATAAAGGAAATGGAGCTACTAGGATTTGGAACATGGGAGGAAGGGAGGGCAGTGGCAGCGAACCGAGAGAAGTGGAGAAGCTCGATAGAGGCCTTATGCACCACTCGGTGCGAAACAGCACAATGATTTTAAGCGAAGAACATGAGGCCAAGGATGCGACTTTCAAACTAACGGCTCGCCAAACATGAATTACTTCTTTCACATTATTATTATTAAATTCTACTAAGTACATTGCTTTATAAGAAATTTGAGTCGTCTCTAGCTTGATAATGAGATTTATTGCAGACGTTTCGACCGCAACTGCGATCTTCTTCAGTGCAATGGCAAAAATGCAATAAATCTCATTATCAAGCTAGAGACGACTCAAATTTCTTATCATGCAACATCCTAGCTGCAATTTTAAATAAGTACATTGCTTGTTTGATTATTTTTCATTCATTTTTTTTTTTTTTTTTGCTGTTGTCTGTAATATAATTTCATTAGGATTCAATATCATTTACTGATTGTGATATACCACAGGAAGCCCATGTAAACGATCGCTGATCGTCTAGTGTTTAAACTTTAAATACGTTCATTCTAATTGATTTAGGCTCCATAAATCAAATCCATATGTTGTTACTGAAGGTCGTTTACCAACATTTGTTGACGGTCGCTTACCAGGAACCAAAGCCATTCAGTTTAATAGCTACCCTTCATATGCCAGAATCCCCGGTGYTCATCTTGGCTCCAAAAGCTTCACAATCGCACTGTGGGTTAACCCAAACAACAGTCTGCTTGGAAAATATACACAAGACATTGTTAGTGATTGGGCTTCCGATGAATATACGCAATGGTTGGTTGGGTTGGCCAGAGGAACTATTTATTCCTTTTTCAGAGAAGGTAGCAATCTGAAAATGATCTTTCCAACGACTACACATTTTCAAAACTTGGCATGGTTCCACTATGCTGTCACATTTGACAACAAATCATCTGTTGTCAAACTATTCAAAGATGGTAAACAGATTCCAACCACGGGAATATCACAAGAAATCACTTTCTCGAGTAATTCAGGAATTATTGAGATAGGTGCAAAACCTAGGAGTGGTAATCTCAATCAGTTTTTTGGTGAAGCTATGGATCTGTATATCATCGATGGTGCAATGAACAGCGAACAGTTGAACGATCTTCGAGGTAAGACCACAAAGGATTAATTTAATTACTTCTGAACTACTCTGATTGAACAAAAGGTTATGCATGAAAATTGATGTTGATTGGCCTAAAAAAATATATATTTAATTATTATGGATTATGGACGCATGRCAATTTTATTTTCATTTGAGGATTCTTGGAAATCGTGCCCAGTTTCGTCAACAACAGCGATCTGAAAGTGTATGAGAACGAGAAACTTGCGTGCTCAGCGAAAGGTTCGCCCACTCCTTACGTAGCTTGGATGTACTCTGCGAAAGTGCTTGATAACAAAACATCTTCTGTAGAGATCGCGATACAAAAGGAAGGGCAGTACACCTGCATGGCTTCTAACAGAGAAGGGACAAAATGGATGATTATCAATATCAGCGTTCGTAAGTTGTATTTAATCATTGACCAGGACAAATGTGATATGTTGAACTATAATGACGGAATTGAACTATTAAATGCAGCTAATATTGTAGAAATTTACGCTAAAGCAACAACCGGTAATGGCATTTTTATTGACGTTTACCCAWATAAGTATCCTATATGCAAGGAATTAATTATCTACACCAATCGGATAAAGAATGTATGTTGTTTTGCTAGATTGCGCCCTCGGTTTTTAGAAAAACGATATATATGTTCTCCTAACTATAAGTCGTTTCATCTAGGACCATGCCAGCTTGGCATGTCGTACCAGTTGATGTACAGCGATACCATAGACAACCATGCCATTGTTGGTCCTCTGTTGAAGTTCATCACCACCAATAACGACAACGACTGCAAAGATGCCTGTTTCATGCACGTCCCTGATGTATGCTACATGTTCAACTATTACCCACAGACCATGAAATGTGAGCTGTTCTACAAAGATCGTGTGTCTGAATACAAGGTGGAGAGGAGGAATGGATGTCACTTTAAAACACGTGAGGTAGGAATACGAGCCGCCATGGGTAACCGAAATATTTACTATGCTTGTTATTATTGTTTCAACTTAAAAAAAAAAAAAACTTGAGATCTGTAGAAAACTACTGCTAAGACCAAAGTACATGATTAATGCGATATTATTAAAATTACATTAATGGAATTACCGCCGGGTCCAGGAGAAAACACATGGGGCTGAAATGGCCTTGACAAGAACGAATTATAGCTAAGTGAGATTTCTTCTCCAATTATTTCACGATTTTTACACCCGATACAAATGAGTGCGAACTCTCGAATTTTTTTTGAACGCTAAACTTTCACTCGACCGTCATTCACTCGACCGCTTGGTAACTCTCGAATTTTTTTTGAACGCTAAACTTTCACTCGACCGTCATTCACTCGACCGCTTGGTAACCAGTAAGTGATGCGTGACTTTCTGTAGCGGTACTTTCGCATTTAGAATTATGGAGGAAGAAGCGGTGGTCTTTGTTCGAGATACCTGTGGTCCTTGTGTTTCACGGAACATTCTACTTCACTCAATGCAATTGAGAACAATTAGAAAAATATCAACTAAACTTGATTAAAAAATATAATTTTCTATCTGATTTGTAGTTTAAATTTGGCTTTATCAACTTGTAAACATCAAATGCATGCCAATAATACTTTGCACAATTAGGTATAGCTATATTTTGCATAAATGTTACTATTTAAGCACCATATAAGATTTTAGACACAATTAGGTATAGCTATGTTTTGCATAAATGTTATTTAAGCACCATATACGATTTTAGAGCATATTTTTATATTATTATTCATTTTGAATGAGCTATAGTTGCAAATAAATTACCTTCTTATGAGTAAAACCAAGGCGGATTATTGACCTGCACAAGGTTGAATTATGTATGAGCCAATTCCAAAGGTGCCCATCCCCCCCGGGCAAACCCCGGGCATTTGACTCGACTTCTTTCGAAGAAGTAAATATATTCTTATTCGTATTACCTAAAAAAYCCTGATTGATTGAATACAAGTTTACAATGACACTTACATGTGAGAAGTCGAGGCCGCCCACGCCGTGTATGTACAGCAACATTTCTTGTACGTTTGAAAAGTTGTCGAATTTTACAAGTTTTCCCTACAAATAACTCTCTACAAGTTTCCCTAATGCTTGAACCGTAAATAAGTTCATGGTAAATAACCCTCCACCGAATATCGTCCGATAACCTCTTCATTTTAATCAGTAAACTAGTAAAATCAACAAAGAACAGCCTACGAACACTAAAAGCGATTTAAAGTGCGCGCGGCTATCAGTGTTTGTCACGCTATTTATTTTTCAACTGTTTCGTTGTAATTGTGAGCTGAGAAAGTTAAGTAAACCGAAACTAGTTTTTACAATAAGTTCGTTTTGTAGTGCGATCACAAACCGTAGGAATTTAGCCCACAGACATACATTAACCATGGTTTTTATACTTGGATAATTTTACCCGCTTCAAAGCTGTGCCAGGTTACCAAGCGGTCGAGTGAATGACGGTCGAGTGAAAGTTTAGCGCCCGAAAAAAAATTCGAGAGTTCGCACTCATTTGAAATCGGGTGTAAATCTTGCCGAAAAAAAATGCATAATATATACATACACAATGTTGTCAGTTTTACACCATAATTTCGTGTTACAGGATAGAATAAACATCGCTTTAAAAAATAATGGTCCTTCYGGACATTCATTTCGCATTGCAATCATGCTATGTTTAATGGAGGACTGGATATTTTTGAAGACAATTAAATTCAACAATATTTTGAGAATTTGCCATTATGTCTACCATGAACAATTTGTCTTTTTCTAGTGTAAAGTAAATCCTTGTTCCGATGGTAAGCGGTGTTACTCGCTCGGTGATCCTACCCAGGCAAACTGCATATAAAAAAAGTATGAATGAACTTTAAGCTGCACGACTACATAAGGCAAGTACCTCAATATTATGATTGGAATTATGGCCCCGGTTAATATTTCTTTTTAAAATGTGTCCACGTTTAAGAAATAATGATAAATGGATGATATTACATGGGGCCGCCCATATAAGAATTTTATCTTCTCGTGTTGAAAATATATCTAAGGAGGTGAGTGGGCGTAGCAAAATAGATTTTCAACACGAGAAGATAAAATAAATAGAATAAACATTTCCATAGAAAAAAATATAGGTATTTCATAGATAATCATAGGATAATAATGATTATAGCTACGTTCCTAACGTAAATCGTTACTCCATTGCGCATGCTCCTATGTTCATATTAATGATCTCCATGCATTTAATTTCAGTTTACGTGGATTTTGTAGAGGCASAGACCGTAGAAGCTAAAACTTACTACAACTACAACAATAGAATAAGTCCACGTCTAAATGATGAAAATAATTTCTGCCTCCATTAAGGGCGTTCAAACGTTTTCGGTATTATGCATGCTCAAATTGAAAAAAAATATATTAAAAAACAACTAGACCAAAAAGTCAGTATGATTTCTCTAAATATATCGTATTCCACATTGCATTGAATTAATAACAAATAAAAGAGTTAAAAAGTCACAAACAACTGCTGTACCTTGAGAGCCGAAGCTACATTTTAGGTGGACACGAAATGGCGGCTTCGTAGGATTTCATAAAGTGAGCACGAATCATTTTCCATCATTACATGGGCAGAAATACCTTTAACTAATTAAGTACCTCAAAGGTACTATCAGTCTATAATCTATTGTATAGTTGACACATTTAAACGTATGTAGACAATAACACGAGAGCGCGCTGTATTGTGGTTGGTTTAGATTCTTTAAAAAGATAAAAAGAGCTGATCGGTCTTAGTGATCTTGTTTTATTGTTGCTATTTTTATTGTGCAATCGATCGCGATATTGACTTTTGGAATGAATTGAACGTTCAATTCACGAGTCATCCTATGAATTTGCCTTGTGATCTCATACAGTACTTACCCGCTTATAAGAGCTCATTTTTCAAATTTAGCCCATGGCCAGAAAATCCGGACAWACGAGCCCGCAATAGCAGCGGTACTTCGCAGAAATCATAAAAACATGTTTGTTAAATTTTACAAAGAAATGTATGGATCAAAAACACTATTTGATAATAACATTGATCTGTTTTACCTGGAAAGTTTTCCAAGATGAAATCCTAGAGGGAAACTATTCTTGAATTGTTAAGAGCGTTCTTTTTGACAAATTTCTTTTCCTTTCGTCGTCTCCTTTTCCTTTGTATTTTATGGTGAAAATCCGAGAAGAAGCGAACTWTCAYCGTAGCTGATCGTGTTTCCTTACATGTCACTGATTTTTCAAAGATCATTTCTCAAAGTCCACACATTGAGCTAGAAAGACGGCGATTTTCAGCTATTTTGAGGTTGAAAGGTTAGATTGTTAAAAAGACTAAGTCTATGCGCCAAAATAATAATAACTTTTTTTAAAAAAGAATGCTAAAAAAAGGATGATCAAAATGACTGAGTTTATTGTATTTTAAACTCTKGACACACGTGCATTGTACGCCATAAATTAACAATGGATTAACACAAATGATCAAAATAGCGGTACGGTGTGGTACTGGAACAGAGCTTCGTAGGAATGTTGGATTTCAAGTTTGCATTTTTGCTGACAATTTATAAAATTATAAAGAAAGTAAACTGAAATATATAGTTCTCCCTAATCCAGCTGTTCCACGATCCATTCCCGAATTTCCTCAGATACATCATTGACCGTGCTTTCTTGTTGGTCTTCGTCCTATGAAGGCACAAAAACGATAGCCTGATCAGTTACTGAATATTTTGTTACGGGTAACTATAATAAGATACTTACCTCGCAGATTGGTCTCCACAACATCTGCTGAATGCAAGGCACAGGCTGTGTATCATATAAAGATTATACAGTCAATCCCAATAAMGTTTTKAAATTAAAAAACAAAAAAACAAAATCAGATCCTATTTTTAATTCTCGGGAAGAATTTCATTTTGAAATTCAAGTTTATCAGCATAACATATAATGTTATTGRTATTGCTAGAACATTTTTGCAATTTGATGTTGAATTTTCTTGTGACAAAAATGATATACAATATAAAAACACTTAAGGACTATTATATATATGCTCGTGAATTTTTTTTGGTCTAATTGTTAAATAGCTGATATGAAGGAAAGGCTATTCATAATATCCATACCATAGAATAGATACGTTTTCGACTTACATCAAGCTGACTTTGTTCTTGTGGCAATTTAACTTTCCTAAGCCAAAGCCTCTCTTGGAGCCCTTCCATCAGTTGGTCGATCATATTGATCGAAAAGGTATACAAAAGTGGCTGAAATATAGAGAGATCAGGGTTAAAATTCTGCTATTTACCCCCTCGTGTGGTGTTAACCCCATTCAGACTGGGAGGGGGGCTTTTGACCCCCCCCTCGCGTAAAAAACCAATAACTTTGGAACCAAGACAGCTACAGCTCTGACAATTTCGAACTTTTCCTAAAATTTATCAGGGCAAATTTTGATGTATTTTTTTGTGCTGATAACGTCATCCATGTCGCCATGGCAACCAGTTTTTGACACATAGGTTTTCAAAAATATAAAATTTGCTTAATTTTTCATTTTTAAAGCTTATTTCTTGTTCTATTATGCATCTTTTACCTATTTGAGCTTGCTCTCATTGCTGACTCTACAATACCATAATACTTTTTTGACAACAAAAACTTTTGGGGGAGGGGTGGGTAGTTTTCAGTCATTTTTTCACATGGAAGAAAATTTCATTAAAATCATCAGCATCACTTCGAAACTCACTTTTTTATTCATTAAATCTTAGTTTGAGAAGAATTTAAGACATTTTGAGATGTTTGTCTCAATGCTTAGTTTTTTAATGGCAATTTAGAAAATTCAAGATGCCTGTCAAAGATGGCGGATCCTAAGATGGCGGATAACTCCTCAAATTGTGAATTTTACCATAAAATAAGGATGTAGACAAAAAAAAGTGATATTTGGAGTCAAATTACTTAAAGACGACAAAGACACTATAGGAAATTACGTCATCACAATTATGACGTCACAACTGTTACCATAGATACAAAACGAACCAAAACATCACAGGAGAGCAGTAACGCCTAAATATGATATTTAAATGGTTATCTAGATATAGATATATAATTTATAGAAATTACCTGATATCTCATTGGGCAGAATTCTATTGTTTTAGGCGACATTTTAGTTTTCTGGCATAAATTAGTCACGCACTTAATTAGTATGCATGACTAATTTTGATAGTTTTTGATTGGTTGGTGATCCCGTTAAGGGATTTAGCCAACTCCCTTAGCAAAGATTTGACAGCTGTCAATCACTAACCTTGGGGACTTTAGAAATCCCTTAGCTATCAAAGTCAAGTGTCAAGATTTTCGGGCTATGAACCATAAGAAATTTGTTTGTTTTGTGTCGCAAAAAGTTTTACGGTAAACGAGTAAAGAATTATAGTTGTAATTTCATAGTAAACATTTATCGTGACTAAATCACGCCTTCTTTAAGTAGATTGTTACAACTTTTTCCTCTTGCAAAGTTTTTCCGAAAAAACTTTCACAGTTGTAGTCAAATAAGCGATTTTCTAGTCGTGGCGCGAAGTTTAAAACTTAAAGTTTGGTTAGAAAGCTTGGTTGATTCATGGTTCACACAGTTYGCATCTTAAATKTCATTTTCTTGCATGACTATAAGTTAAATGCTTCGATTATGCTCTACTACATTTTAGTTCCTTCGACTCTCTGGTCCGCCGCTTTACGCGGCTCCACTCGTCAAATGAAGGAACCATGTTTTGAATGAAAACTGAAGCTGGATTCGCTAGTTAAAACAAATGTTCTTATATTTGAGAGTTGCAAGCAGGTGACTCATAGTTTTTTACTGACAAACTTCTGACTAGTTGATACCGATTSCCGTTGTCAAGGTCACAAACAAAACAACTTGGTCTCAACAACAAAAACAAACCCCTTCCCTAAAAAGAAAACTGCTTTCGTCTCGTGCTTTTGGTTATTACAAACGGCAAGGAAACGTTCAGCTAATTCTCACTAGTTTGTATAAATATTGCTGAGTCTGTTTCTTCATAATCATCTCTTATGATCGTGTCTTGTTGTGTTACAATGAACTTTATTAAACACGAAAACACTGAGTTTGTTTCTTCATAATGATCTCTTATGATCTTGTCTTTTTGTGTTACAATAAACTTTATAAACACGGCCACGAAAACACTGAGTTTGTTTCTTCATAATAATCTCTTATGATCTTGTCTTGTTGTGTTACAATAAACTTTATTAAACACGGCCACGAAAAACAGTTTGTTTCTTCATAATAATCTCTTATGGTCGTGTCTTGTTGTTGTGTTACAATGAACTTTATTAAACACGAAAAAACACTGAGTTTGTTTCTTCATAATAATCTCTTGTGATCTTGTCTTGTTGTTGTGTTACAATGAACTTTATTAAACACGA